ACTCGCTCGTGCACAATACCAAAATGGCGTACGGTGCGATAATAATAAAAATAGTTTTTCAGCTGTAATGCTTTTATAGGACTAAAATTAAATTTTACACGAAAGGTTTTGTATTATAAATCATGGGATTAGATTATGTTATATCTATTCAAATTTTATCCTAATTTATAGTCAGAGCCAGTCTGGTAGCAAGAATTGTTACATACAAATTTTACTACATACAGGGTGTATTTTTATGTTCAAATTTACTATTACATAATTTTCAATTAAGAGTAGACCCTGAAGTTGCAAATGAATTAAGATTAGATTGTTTAGATTGTTTGAGTTTCCCCATATTGCTTTAGTAATTTCCAGCAAATCAATGTCCATTTTATTTGGGACACCCTCTGGGACCTCCGATCCCTTTAATTTAATTTAATCATTCCACCAAGCACCCACAATAAATTGTGGGGTCGGTAATACTTTATATCATTTCGATTTGTTCATCCATTGAAAATATTTTCAGAATTAATATTTAATCGATATGTTACAGATAAACCTACCTAATAAAAGAAATCAAAAAAATATAAAACCTATTGTATTTCTCAGAACGTTGCTTTTGCCGATAAAACCAATTTGATTTCATCATTATTTCCCAAGAAATTTTAGACAGATATTTTTTAGAAAATCAAATTTTAATTGTAGGTATATTGAATTTTGTTGGGGAATGGTTTTATATTACATTTTTTAAGGATTACATTCTTCTAGAATTACACTCGAATATTGGTTTGGAGGTAATGGGCTACAACGAAAAAATTTCAATGTTACTAACTTATTCTTAAAACAATTATTGCTTAACTTAACCTAAAAATAAGGTTATTGACACAATTATAAAGGTTATAAATTGAAATGTATTTCTTGAAAATTTACAGTTTTTCACAGTGATAGTAAAGAAAATGTTTTATGAGCACTTTACAGTAGAGTCTGTGCCCGAATTTAAGTTATAGTTTACTGCCGGCGAAATTAAAAGGTCAGTCTATTTAATATTTTTGTATTTTTGTATTGAGATAATAAAATAATTTTCACATTTAGTATTATTTTAAAGAAAGGCACTTTATTTTAACGATTGTATGACATTTGTAAGTTTTATTTATGTTATTTTTACCTATTTTAATAACCCCTAAGTTTCAACTTTTTAAAGTATTATGAGGGACGAGTATTTCACCTAAAGGAAAATTTAACGGTAATTTTAACGTCAGAATTTTTACTTAATGGTAAATGTTACTCATAAGTCATAATTTTACGATTTTAAGACCACTTTATAACCCTAAATAATTCCTATTCGCCTGGTATTTTTTAAGGTTATTTATTAGTGGTAATAAATACTATTAATATTGACTAAACAAGGAAAAAAAAGTGAAAAATATTTTTTTTTCAGGTCGCCATAATGAGTTTAAGTTAAGATGGCATCCATTACTTATCTAAACATTTATATTTATATAAATTACGAATGTCAATTAATGTTTTAGAAACAGAGAGAAAACAGTTAGTAATTATAGCGTTATTTTTACGTAAATTTGTGGTATTTATATTGTTTTTATTACGTTATTCTCTTAGTAGATCAAAAAGGTTATTATGTAGGTAAAATAACGAAAGAACCCCAAATTTGGTAATTTTTCTTATCTATACCGTTATAAAACCGTTTTGGTTAACCGTAACAAATACTTTAAAGTTTGTCCTTTTTAATTACAATCTACTTATTCAATTAGTTTTAGTGAACTATTTTCTCCAATTATCTAAAACAATGGAGAAATTGACAATTGCCGAAGAAGCTTATGTTTTTTCCGAACCGAGCTGTCTTTTAATGAATTGTTGTCTTAAAGGGAAATCTAAAGACCTTTTAGGAAATCACCGCTCCTTTCCTCTGCCCGCCCCTTCCCTAATTGCATTATGTCGCGCTTTCTTTTGTTCTGGCAACGCTCGGAAGCTTAAGAAAAGCTGCCGATCAACTTTTTCCCATTCAATCCGTTTTGCCAGTCTGTCTGGATTACCAAGTGTAAATAATCCTCCGGCTGTAGGTAATAACAATAAATGAAACCTACCATTAAGTTTTTCTCTTTTTTGTGGAAGGAACATTTTCGTTTGCATCTCTTCTCCATTTGATCTAAATGTAAAATTTTTTGTTTTGTTTGGTTGATATTGCCTTATTTACATTTTAAGTCCCTACCTAATTGACATATTAATATGCTAAAATAATATTATTTAACTTAAATTTAATGAGATTATTTTTATTTAAAGAATAAACTTTTTTTACTGTTAATAAAATTCTCATTTACTATAATGAAGCAGCAATGTTGAGCTTTTATAAAAAAATGTTCATCCAACAAAGTAATAGTTGTTACCATATTGTCATGGCAATTAGAAATACTTTATGTTTCTATTAAATCTTTGTCGAACTTAAAATGTTTTTGTTAAATCTATAGTTGTGTGTGAATTGCGATTACATAAAGTAATGCGCAGTTGTTATAGTAAAATTTGTTCATTTTACTATGGCATATTTGCTTTGTAAGTCAAATAAAATTTTATTTCAGTTAGAAAATCTTTGTTAACAGCTTACGTTAAGAAGAACAACAAAAATATTTTATTCCTATAAAAAGACTTTTTTAATATTTACTTTTGTTTTGCAATGGTAACAAAATTTTTGTTATTTCCCTTAAAAAGAGGGGGAAAGGGCCAGTGCTCTTCTTGGTGAACATAACTTTATTATCCAGTCTGTGTTATAATCTTATTGATTTCACTTGTGCGAGTGAAGTGTAGTAAAAATACCATGATAAAAATATCAAAAAGATCACTAGGAAAATTAAAATTTCGACGTTTTCTAAAAGAAATATTTAAGGTCTATTCTATAAACGAAGTAGACTTGTTTAAAAAGTGAGTTCATAATTTTTTTATTTTGTACGTTTTATAATATGAGTTAATTTTTTTGTTATAATAAATAATTTGTTTTATTGCCATGCAATTATTTAAAAAAAACTACCCAACACCCAACAGTAGGTTGAAAATGTGACCATTGTTACAATGAAAATAGTTTATTGAATTAATTTGTTGTTAAATTAACATAAATTTTATTAATATTATAAAAAAAGTTTTATTTTAAACGAAAAGGGATTTGTAAAATTTACAAAATTTCTATGAGGGTTTCATTAATACTACAAAACGTTTTTGTAAACGGTATAGAACTGTTTTTTTGGACAAATAATAATAACTATATTAATCAATACGTTTCTGCATCTAGAAGAGTGATATTTTTATAAACATAACGAAAATTTACTTTTAATAAAAATTAACAAAATAACCTTTGAAATTATAAAAATGCTTACAAAATTGCATATTACCTTTATAAAACTTTCGGTAAAATATTTTCCTTTGTTAATTTTACAAAATACAAAATTAAATTAACAAACTACAAACTCATGATAATAAATCTGAGTTTTATAGCAGTGTAAACAAGTAAACAATTTTATGTGTGTGTTTATTTCGCATCTGGAAGCTAAAATAATTTAATTACAAAATGCTACATCATTTTAAACAAAACAAAACAAAACAAAAGCGTTAAACTTTTTAAATTAGGGAATTACTTGAAACTGAAAACCTTTTAGGGCAACAATGAAAACAACAGCAGGTGATAAATGCTTTTAAGGATCGGTAATACGTTGCTAAACTTAAACTAAACTTTAAACACCACAATTTCCTGGTCTGAAACGATACTCTTTACATTAACCTGGGAAATGACTGTTAAAAGCTTAAGTATAATTTTTTTCCTGAAAAAGTCTCCTTCTACCTAAATAAATTCCATTTGTATTGTATATGCAACCTCATTAAATTTTAATTACACCTTGGTTTTCTAAATATTTTAAATTTAAGTTGCAACAACCTATTCAAATAAAAAAGAACATATCTATATAAGGAGTTTTTGAAAAACAATAATAACAAGGTAATAATATAGTAGGCTAAATTTCTTAATTTAGTTACAGAAATATTTATATCACTCTTATATACCCCTTAAAGAGCTTATTTGGGGAGTTTATGAAGGTTATCGGTACCTATTTTAGTAACTCTATAAAAACCCAAGTTTTATAACCAGAGATAACAGGAATATTATAAACCTACTGGCAACTGTTACTAAAGGTTATATAAAATGTTTGTGGAAACAATTATATAACCTAATTATACACCTAGAGTTTACAGTAACCTTATATGGCCAATATAAAACTAGTAAACTAAATGAAGATTTTATAAAACCTTGTTAAACTCTTATATAAATTGACAACTCTTAAATAACCTTTAATTTATAATTAATTTTGTATGTTTAAAGGTTTACTACCAATAAAAGACGACTTATTTTTTCGTATGAATAAATAAAAAAAAAATTATGTACTATGCTCCACACCCAGCTTAAGGTTTCCTGAATTATTGAGTAGGTATAAGTTTAACAAAACTGTCTCAAATTACATTCTAAAAGGATAAAGAAAGTTTTAAGGAGTTTTCAATACGTTCCATTATAAAGTTAGCTAAACCCAAACTTGCAAAATATTGCCTAGATAATTTATCTTAAATTCCTTATAATTCATGTTTTTATTCAGTAAATTTCAGGAAAATTCAAGGAAAATAAAAAAAATCGAACTAAAGTGGGTAATAATTCATCTAAAGAAAAATAAAGGTTCAGTATTTTGTCAAATAATTTTATATCGTTAATATTAAATTAAATTAAATTTAAACCTAAAATAGCTCAGATTTTTCTGTAATTCGTAGTTTTTAAAACAAATTGATTAATTTAAAAACATTTTAACACTAAATTTTGCAATTTAAAATTTTATTTATCTGACATCTGACATCTTTTGAGTTCTAACCTCAATTTTTACATTTTTCTTGATGCCTTTATTGATCAATGATGAAAGGGCGATTTGTGTTTATTTCTTTAAACCATGGAAAGGTATTTTTATCAACAATATTTATTTTAGGAAAAAACGTTGGAGGGATACTGCAAAAAAGTCCTGAAGTACTGTCCCCCACCTGCTATAGGGCCCCCAGGTCCTGCAGGTAATCCGGGGGCAAAAGGGGAGAGAGGCTTGCCAGGAATTCCAGGACCCCAAGGGGCAAGAGGTAAAAAAATGGTCATAAATATAAACTCTTCAAATTAGTCAAAAATAACTAATTATAAGTCATATTTGACTAATTGTCATAGCGAAAATGCAATAATTAGTCAAATTCTACTGAATGAAATAGTCAAATTGGTAAAAAAAAAATAAAAAAAATTTCTAACCCAGCCGGGGTTTGAACTCGGTTCTGTCGCTTGTCAAGCGGATGTCGTAACCAATGCGCTCTCAGTCACTTTTATAAAAATCAGTTTTATTTGTCTATAAATATTGGTAATAATATTTAAATAGTAAAAAATAACCATTCAAAAGTGAAAACGACTATTTAATTAGTAAACAATGCTGGTATCCCAAGCAACAATTTAAGTATTTGTTACGTATATGGGACTAATGAAGAAACTTTAAAGTGTTTTGCGATAGTCGCCGGTCTCTTTATATTACTCTTTCATTACCAAGTTACGACTAAACTGGGGAACAATTATTGAGTTCCAAAAAGGTAGCAAATATGTCACCCTGATACTGCGTTACTAGAACGTTTCAATATCGTTGCTAGAGCGTTATAATTACTTTTATTTATTTGTTTTTACTTCTATATTAACTGTCTTTGTCAAACTTATATTAGATACTACTATCCCTCCTTTTTTAAATGGAACCACTACGGACTTGGCTTTTCAATGTCGTCGTTTATTTAATATGTACTGGTAGTTTATAACTTCCAGAATAACAATATAATGTTTAATTAGGCAGGTAAATTTATAAACCCTTTAAATTTTACTGTTGAACTTATGAACTTAGTTTTTGTAAAATAAATGCGCTTCATCAATATTTAAGTATAAACAAATTATTTATTTAACAATGTTTATAAATTAAAAAATCTTAATATTTAGTATTAATTTTTTATTTAATTATTAATACCGTCTATTACCAACAAAATTACTATTTATTAAAAAGTAAACAACCATTTACAAACAATTAAAATAATTTATTATTTACATTACCACGTGGTACTGTACAGTAAAAAATGGCCAAAAAAAAGCATTTTCCTTTGAAGTAGTTTTCGCTACTTTAAAGTTTTTTTCCACCTTAACTTACTTTACGGTAGTTTTGGTTAGTACCATAAACGTTCCAAATACTAAAATAATATCTTTGTAGTTTTTAACTCATGTTCCAGTTTCGAGATTTTAACTTGCAAAGGGACTACAAAGTATAAATAATAATAATGTAATATTTCGGTAGAAACATAAAGTAACTGCTACAAATTAAATTTACTTGAAAGTTTTTTTTTTACCGATAACACCTTTTTTAAAGTTGCAAAGTCTTCTTGGGGGCAACCAAGTTTTACTTAAATGTTTATTACTTTATAGTAACCATTTAAGCAAAGAATGAATTTTCTGTTACAAAATAATGCCATTTAAAAGTTAGAATTACTTTTAAGTAAAAATTAAAGTAGCTGTTTAGTATACTTAACTAATTTAAAGTTTTCACCACTTTGGTAATGGTTTTTGGAACCAAAAATGCTGCTTGGGACTAATTCAAATGATAGAATTTTGACTATGTCATTTTAAGAGAGAGTGTTCCATAGGTCAGCATGGTCATCCTGGACAAAAGGGGGATAAAGGCCATAAGGGGGAGCAAGGCAGGAACGGACTCGATGGTAGGGATGGTATTCCAGGAGAACCAGGATTGGATGGGATGCCTGGTAGAAATGGGCATGATGGAATCCCAGGGAGCAACGGACTACCCGGCACTGATGGAAAAAATGGAATAAACGGTAAAAAAATCTAATTAGGGTAAACCACATAGTTATTATATAAGAATATTTGAATTTTTAATATTAGTTTTATAAAAACATGCAAAAAGTATAGTAATTGGACATTTTATATATTACATCAAATAACAAATTGTTAAATATTTTTTAAAGATAAATTGCTGTTTTAGGTAATTTTTCTTATTTCGTTTTTGTAAAAATCATATAATTCATATATTTCTTTCTTGGATTCCTCATCCCTTTTCTGGATTCTGAAGGTAACTACTAATTCCTTGGTCTGACTTCTGAAATAGTTTGTTGCAAATATCATTAAGTGTGGTATCTCTAGTTTGTGAAGCATTTATAATGTTTAGGCCGGAACAGGATGATTAATATATATCTAATATTTTTTCGGGTGGTATGTTAAAAGTATTTTCCGAATTTATTAATTTTGTTGCCATTAGTTTTTTATGTTCTCTATCATGCACTGTTATTCTGCAAGATGTCCTGTGACGAAGAAATCACTATATTACTTACTCTCTAAAAATGAATTAGTCAAAAATGTCATAGCGAAAAAGCAGCCACTAATAATTCTCGTCAACAGCAATTTGTATCCAGGACATTTAGCAGTCAAATATTATTCGCTGAATCCGAAAATGTCGTCAAAAGTTATAAAAGTAGAACAGTTTTTGAAATATAATCAATTTTACATATAATATGGAATTGACTATATCTCAAAAACTGCTTAACTTTTATAGTTTTTGACGGTCTTTTCGGATTCAGGGGACAATTTTACATAAGAATTGGGTGGTAAATGTCCGGGATACAAATAGAGTATGATATTGGACATATGTCCAATAATAGAAATTTACATTTTTTACCAACCAGTAATTGGACACTGGCCATTTACTGTTTTTTTTCAGAATTAAAATTAAAACACATTAAACTTTTTTAGTTAGTCTTCTACATGAATTAGGAATTTATTTGTAAGCGGAACTTGTTAAACTTGCTTTTCTAAGAATGTTAATTAAAACTTTAATAACACTAGGTATATAAATTGTCCTTTCAGGACAAAAGGGCGATCAGGGGCCACAAGGGCCGCAAGGGCCTCCTGGGATTAAAGGTATATAATGTAAAGGAAAATTTCGCTGATTGAATTCACTACAAATTAATTGTTCAAGGTTTAACTGGGCCTAGAGGAAGATCAGGCAGACCTGGCAACAATGGAACGCCAGGAATTCCCGGGATAACCGCTTGGAAAAGCTTCGATAACAATAATGCATCTAAACTGCTCATTCCCCCTTCTATAGCAGGTATTTATTTAATTTATGGCGAGTTTTGGCACCAATCAAACAGGTCTACAATTTATCAATATCCGGTTAAGTTATTGTTAAGTGATCTGGCTTTTATATACCATATGGTAGGAATAAAAATTTAAAAAGTTAAATTTTTTCAAACCCAAAATAATTGAAATTTTTAAATATAAAATACATCTGTACTACTTTAAGCTTACAAAAAATATTGATTTTTAAAAATTATAGTTCAAATATTTTATTCTACAAAATTATCAGTTTAATTAATTAATTTGTAAAAAGTAATTTAAATGTTTATTTCGTTATTTTACCTACATAATAACCTTTTTGATCTACTAAGACAATAACGTAATAAAAACAATGTAAATACCACAAATTTACGTAAAAATGACGCTATATCTACTAACTGTTTGCTCTCTCTTTCTAAAACATTGACATCCGTAATTTCTGTGTTCTTTTAATTTATATTTTACAAAAAAATCTTTTAAAAATCATTTAGCCCAAGCTGCATTTTAAGTAAAAGCGTAGAGCTTTAAGGCAATATTACTTAATTTAAGTAAATATTTTGTTAAATTAACCTTACAAAATTCCTTTGAAATAAAACTTTTTTTAAAGTTTTATTTATGTTATTTTTACCTATTTTAATAACCCTTAAGATTCAACACTTTAAAGTACCTATTACACCGTACAACACAAAATTGCCCGCATCGATGAAACTTGAAAAATCGGATAGAAGACGATAAAAAAAAAGACCCGTGTATCGGCGATTTTTTTGTACACGTCAAAAAAATTTTTTTTTTCACTTTAAAGTTTTTAATTAAAAGCATTTAATATGTTTTGTTTTTAAACAAAAATATACCAATTTCGCTGTGAACCATATTATTGAAAAGGTATTAAAAATTAGGAAAAATGTTATATAATGTACAGGGAATATGTAAAATTGGTAATTCAGAAGGAAAAATTAAAAAATAAATCTTAAAAATTATGATAACTATTACTTTGAGCATTTATGTATTCTTGGTTAAAAACAACTTTTAAACGTAAAAACAATTTTGTTGTGGGTTTGTTAATCTAAATGATACGCATATAAAAGTACGATTTTTATTAAACTGCACCTTTTATAGTTTTGTTCGTTGAGAATTAAAATGGAGTGTCCAAATCGCAATTAATTTTGTTATGTTTGTGGTTTATATGTAACTGTGAAACATGTTCGTAATATAACTAAAACCTTAGTTCTTTCGTTTCAGCGACAGTTTAAAACCAATTACGTTTCGTAATGGTACGCCCCCGAAGTGGTATGCACGTACTGCTATAGGTCATTATGTAAAAAATTTTTAGGGATGTCAACTTTTAGAAAATAACCGGTTATAGGTTAAACCGGTTTTTATTAATAAGGTTATAACTGCGGAGGTTTAACTGAACGTAAATAACCGGTTTTTTCAATAACCGAACAACCGGTTTTCATACAAAAATTGCACTGCGCCTCAATTTTATTTGATTTTGAAAAATATTTCCACACATCAGACATGATGCCTGCAAATTCTTGAAACAACTAAACTGTGGGTTTCACCGAACCGCATATCAAAGTCACCAACAAAAATTTGTTAGGACGGTTATTAATAATAATAACTTATTATTTCAGTGATAGATGGCCCATGTTCGTTTTTACCGTTACAGAAGATTTCTTTTTTCAGTTGTCATGGTAACTAGCAGACAGTTCTGTTAACTCTATCGAAACAACGACGAATCTATTTTAAATAAAATTACCAAAAAATTTTTTTTGTTAATATTTATATTTAGTATTTAAATGAAATTATAATTAAGTGAAATATAGATTTCATTAAATTTACTACTACTGAGCTATCTTGCGTTGAATGGTCAAACTATACAAGGTATAGGAAACTGTAACAATCTTGCAGAGATGCCAACCGACATTGTGGCACCTAAACTTTAGGTAGGTTTTGGTCAAGGATGATAAAGTGACTAAACCATTGAAAACATTTTCATGTAGTGCACGCAAAATAACAAGAATTGATGCGGTTTTTTTGGCCGGTTATTGAATTTTAAAAATAATCACCGGTTTTAACTGTATTAAAAAAAAACCTAAATAAACCGGTGTTACGAAACAAAATAACCGGTTACTCGGTTTAACCGACGGTTTATTGACATCCCTAGTAAAAATAATGACAAACAACCCGGTAGTAAATACCAAATACCTACTATTTGGTTACCCCGTACAGAGCATTCTCCGGAATTGTGTTACTTTTGTCTGAACGAAACAAGGAGCTTTGGTTATAAATATGAACACCGCGAAAAAATCGCCTACGTTGAAGTTGAATCTGTAATCCCGTTGAAATTGAATCTGTAAACCCAGTTGAAAAAGAAGCTTGGACATCTGCTGTTAATGTCTTTGAAAACTTTCTTGGTAACAATCGAGCTGAAAATTATATAGAAATTGTGCAAAAAATGATCTATGGCAATATGGGAGTATTAATGTCATTAAAAATTCATTTTTTGCATAATCATATAGATTTTTTTCAAAATAATATGGGTGATTACAGTGATGAACATGGAGAAAGATTCCACCAAGACATAGCTTTAATCGAAACTAGATTTAAAGGTAAAAATTTGGTGCACATGCTCGGTGAATACTGTTGGTCACTTTGTCGTGAAACGGCAACAAATTCACTAAAAAGAAAAAATAAAAGGCCAAAATTTGAAAAATAATTGAGTTGTATCAAATATTTTTATTAAACTAAATAATATCAGACAGTTTGTTTAATTGTATTCAGCGTTAAAACAATTTATATGGTAGTATTGGTTTTTTACTTTTGAGTATTAAAATTTTATGGATGTAATAATAAAGTAGTTACAGCCTTATGATTATGTAAGAGTTCTTTAAAATGCACTTTAAGAACATTTGTAAGCTTGAATAAAAAAAAATAACATTAATATTTAGTATGGAAACTTTCTACGAATTATCTTTAAATTTTGTGTTTCAAAACCAAATAAAAAAAAAATTTGACGTGTACAAAAAAATCGCCGATACACGAGTCTTTTTTTTTATCGTCTTCTATCCGATTTTTCAAGTTTCATCGATGCGGGCAATTTTGTGTTGTACGGTGTTATGAGGGACGTAATTTTTACGAAAGAAAATTACTTATAAGTGTGTTTCACCTAAAGGAAAATTTAACGGTAATTTTAACGTCAGAATTTTTACTTAATCGTAAATGTTACTCATAAGTAATAATTTTACGATTTTAAGACCACTTTCTGGTTTAATTTATATTTTAATTTTAAATATTTTTTATTTAGGTTAAGGATTTTTTATTTATTTACTTACTAATATTATGAATTCCAATTTATTACCTAATAAACAGTTTTTAAAATAATTTTTTTAGGTTTAACTTTATTAAGTTACCTACTGGTAATAAATACTATTAATATTGAATAAAGGAAAAATAAGCTTAAAGTGATAATAAAACTTTAAGGAAAAATTTTTATAATATTTTTTCATAAAAATTTATCTAAAATATAATAAGGAAAGTTTTATTTCTTAAAAATGATTAAAACTAAATGATTTTATAAAATTTTGTAGGTTTTAAGTTTTGTTGAATTTTTACCCAAGCAATAATTTTTCTTAAAACCGTAAAATATTTATACCGTTATAAAACCGTTTTGGATAACCGTACAAAATACTTTAAAGTTGACTTGGCAGTAAATTTGTAGTTATTTAAACTTAAAATGCTGCTTGGGATAGATAATGGGTATCGATTTATAAACTTACGAAAGTTCCATAGTTTCAGTAGTAAAAGAGAGTTGCGTGAATCCGTTCTATTAATATTGATACATCTACCTACGTTTGAAAATTTTGTCAAAAAACCTGTCGGAGACGTCTCGGCATAAAACAATATTGATCGAAATATGCAACTTTTTACAATCATACAAACGTGTTTCATATTTGATTGAATTATGATTGGTCAGTTAAAATCAAATGTGCTGAAACCACGCCCACAACTATACGGCACGTTTTTTACGTGGCAAAATGGAAGAAATTCATTAAAATTATCATTGTTTTTTGTCATTCTACAAATTGAAGTCCCTTGAGAGAATCTTACGTAAAACAAAAATCTTTAGGTGCCCAAGCTGGAAACATTGGACCAATTATAGTGCACGAGGGTGAAAATGTCCGATTGCAATGCTCTGCAACTGGGACTCCCACGCCACGTATCACGTGGCAAAGAGTAGACAATCGACCTATCAATAGAGGAGCATGGCAAGGTTAGAATATTGATAGTAGAAAAGAAACGAAATCTAAAGTCCTTTCATAGATATTTTATGCTATAAGTTCTTCTATGATTTTAGACATCCACATAGCTGGCGAGATATTAAACCTCACCGCGGTCAATAGGGACCATATCGGGACGTACTTGTGTATAGCTGACAATGGAGTGCCTCCGCAAGTAAATCAGACCTTTGGACTGGAAGTTTATTGTAAGTTTGGTATTTAAGACCATTACATCAAAACCGATTTTTTGTGAATTTTAGTTCCACCACTGATAAGAATTAGGAACCAGATGGTGGAAGTGAGAAATGGCTCCAATGCCGTTTTGGAGTGCGAAACAGAGGCTTTTCCAGAACCCCTTAAGTGAGATTTATTATAATATGGCTTGTCTAAAGTAAAGTTAATAAATGAAATGTTTCAGATACTGGGAAAGGTCCGATGGAAAGTTGTTGGAAAATAGCCACAAGTACAGAATCGACAACTCGGAATCGAACGGATACAAATCGAAAATGCAGCTGAACATTACAAGAATCCACACGCACGATTTGCTCTACCTATACTCTTGCGTAAGCAAGAACGCAGTGCAAACGACTCGTGGCGAAATAAGCCTTTTCGGTAAGTTTCAAAGGCAGTAGGGCCAGGATTATTTATTAATGGTGTTTCAGAAACCGACAGGAAAATAACGCACTCCAGCTACGGAAAGGATGTGGCTGTTTACGGGCATTTACCTCCCGAGAGGAAATCTCTGGAGGACCTTTGCGGTCCACCGGTCATGTGCCCTGAGTGCGATAAATGCAACCCAGGGGGCGTTTCCCTCATTGATCTCATCAGCCATTGGGAAATAAGATCCATGAACGTCAACATGAATTTCACCAAACTAGGCAGTCGAGCTACTGGTGAGTTGTCCTGTCAAATCCCTATCACCTTCACCTGGGCCCATAACCTCCAAAACTCTTCTATTCAGAGTAGACCTGGGCCCATAACCTATAAGATATTTGGGGCATATCTTTGATTTAAATCATCGAATTGATCTCTTAAATTATTTCTTTCTTTTAGTATCACACCCTTCTGTTGTAACTGATTTTCTAAATCATTCTGTTTGTCATTGATTTTTCAAGTTGTCTATGCTGTTTCTTAATGTTTGTCATCTCTTTCTCAATTTTTGTTTTTCATTATAAACCTCCAAGAACTCTTCTATTTCATAGTAGACCTGGGCCCATAACCTATTCGATATTTGGAGCATGTCTTTGATTTAAATCATCGATTTGATCTTTTAAATCATTTATTTCTTTTAGTATCATACCCTTCTGTTGTAACTGATTTTCTAAATCATTCTTCAAGGTGTTTGTTTTTCATGATGACTCCACGAACTCTTCTAATCAGAGTAGACCTGGGCCCATAACCTATTAGATATTCGGGGTAATATTCCAGATGTGGTTTTATGATGCATTATCTCCTGTTTTGATAGATTGCGTCTTGTACGCCGTTGGCAAGCCTGTTTATAACGGAAACACGGACCAAAACTACGGATGCTGGATGAGGGAGACTGTGACTAATGTCGAGAAAAACTACGAAAAATTCTGGGCGACCTACGAGGATCGCCCCAGCCAACTCTACGAGTTCGACAACAAGACGGTCTATAAGGAGAAAATCAATTCGAAGTAAATGTCACCTTATAGTAATACGACTTGATCAAAACGTGTTGTTTGTTTAGGATTCACAAGCTTAGTATTTGGTTCGAAGGCAACGCTCAAGTCATGTACAACGGCAGTTTGTTTTACAATCAGAAGGATAAAAACACGATTGTAAAGTTTACTTTGCAAACATACGAAACCACTACGTTAGACTTGCCTCTTGACAATCAGCGTGATAAACTTTACTCCGGCCAGTACAACCATATGGATTTCAGCGTTGACGACAATGGTTTGTGGGTCATTTTCCCTGTCCCCAATTCGAACAACACAGCTGTTTTGAAGGTAAAACAATCCACATATTCACTTGGTGTTTATTTTTCCTGTATTCTAGGTGGATGCGGAAAAAATGCTCCCGCAAAAAATTTGGAACATCAGTATTGATCACCACAAAGTGGGGGAGATGTTCATAGTGTGCGGTGTGCTTTATGCGGTTGATAGTGTTTCCATAAGGGATACCAAAATTAGATTCGCTTTAGATTTGTACAAGGAAACTCTACTTGATGTTAATCTTCTTTTCTCCAACCCATTCAGGAAGACCACCATGATAGGATACAACCATAGAAACAAGGTAAAACTCCATCTCAATTGCACAAATCAACTTAATTAATAAGGTTACTTTTAGGAACTCTATACATGGGATAAGGGAAACCAGCTAACGTATCCGATAAGGTACCATGAAATTGGATACAATTATACAGGCAAAGACGATAAAAAGGAAAATCTGGAAGGAATCTCTCCACAAATGCAGACTGGTTACAAAATATATGAGGATTAAATAAATTGTAAATAATTTGTGAATGGAATTGTATGACAAACCACATGAATCCAAAATTGATGAAAAATGTGTAGTTTTGGGGTTTGACATATATTTGCATATCCATAACTTAGAAATTTTTGAATAAAATATTTAGGAAAACGTGTTATGATTTTTAAGACTATCCTCCACTTTGCTTTATATTTTATTGAATACAATTATCACAACTTTCCTTTCAACATTTTCCATAGATTTAAATCCTTGGTACTACTGGTCTCCAAAGTTCTTAAAACTTCCAAATCTAAAAAAATGAACCTTACTTTTAAATAGAAAAAATTTAATGGACATACATACCTCTGTGTATTAAAAACTTATCAATTATTGGTAATATTTTCAATATTGGAACTGCCATATTGACTCTGGGAAACACAGAAGAATTGGGCAATTTAATATTACAAACTATAACGCCAATCAGTTCCCCGTTAAGGTTTAAAATGGCCCCACCACTGGCCCCAGCGTGTACAGAAGAAGTAGTTTTTATAATCCCCTCATCAATTTGACTGATGTTCCCTTTGGAAATAGTGGGGCTCAAACTTGATTCACTTGAAAATAAAGAAAAGCCTGAAGAATAAATTGTGGCCCCTGCAATATAATCATGTTTAACCATTTTTAGGTATCCAGGTATTTTTATTTTCATAAGTTACCTAATGAAATCGATTCTTTGTTTATTTTAATACTCTCAACTTTCCATTCGTTGATTTCTGAACAAGATACTAATGCTATATCAAATACTGAATCTTTGGGTGTTTTGTAAATTAATGTGCCCAGTGAAGATTTATTTTTCCAATTTATTTTAATTATACCATTGTCATCTTCATCCTACAAAAAAAATTAAATACAAAATGTTTTCTGTGACTGTATTTGTAATTAATCAAAGCTGTGGTTAATTTACCAAAAAGTTCATACCCAGGTAGCACAGAGACATCTTAAAGACGTTTTATGACATCTTTAAGACGTCCAGTTTACGACGTAAGTCATCTTTAAGACGACTTTAAGATATCCAATGTTACAAAACACATTAAGTCGTTGCTAAACGTCTTTAAGATGTTAAAGACTACCTACATATTTAAAACGTATTAGTTTTGCATTGCGTAAAAAAATTTAAAAAAAAACGGCGGTATCAGGCATTTATAAAATGTCTTTAGAGATTAAATGACGATATCTTTAAGACATATCAAAAGACCTCTTTCAGACATCTTCAAGACGTTGTGTGATATCTGGGTTAGGATCTCTACTTACGAAAATATGCGAATTCGTTATAATGATCCCTTTATTTTTATCAAAAATTATTCCAGAACCCCAACTATATCCACAACTCAATTTAACCAAAGATAATTCTGAACCAGCTAAAAATACATTATTAAGATTTATCAAAAATATTAAAAAACATACCTAATACTTCAAGATTAAGTGAAGTTTCCTGGATTCCCACATTCAAATTTAACAGTCTCATTAAAATAGGTCTCAAATCTGCTATTAGAGTGCACCCTGTATATTCATTTTTCCACCAGTTCAAGGGTGAAATTATTATACCAAAGGGAACATGATCTCTAAAAAATACTTAATATTGTTTTCAACACAATCCACACAACAAGGTCGGTTCTATCTCATGCTAAAAATACTAAAAATCACTGCACAGTTAACGGCGGCCATTTTTGTTGTTTACAATTTTTGTGCTTTGGGTTTGTGCTCTGTTTATACAGATTCATAATCGTTTTAAACGTTGTGTTTCTCATAGTAAGCCTTAGAAGAGTCCTTAAAGTGCTAAGAACAACCATTTTACTCGTCTATTGTAAAAAATAAACTTTATTCTATCAGGGCTGTCATAAAACTGTCAAATGTCAATTTTAAGGTTAAATTATAACAAAATGGCCGCCGTTAAACTCTGTGCAGTGATTTTTAGTATTTTTAGCATGAGATAGAACAGACCTTGTTGTGTGGATTGCGGTTTTAAAATCAAATAAAATCAAATTACTTTAGTTTAAACACAGGGCTTCCCTCAGATCCTGGTGTGGAAGGTATATCGCTCAAAATAAGGCAATTATTATTTCCAACAATATTGGACACAATTCCGCGCGCATAAGACCCAAAAAAGTGGACGTTCCCGAACGAAACACTGGAACAAAAAATGTCTTGCCCTTTACCAATTCTTCGGGTGCAAATTTCGTCCCACCAGCCTTTCAGCATTGATTTAAACTCGGCAACGTTGCCTTCCATGTCTGATATTGTCAACACAAAAAATAAACTTAAAGGTAAGTTTGAGGTGTTTGAATTATCTTCAAAGTCAATTTTCCAATCTTTGAACAAATTTTTGGTGGAATATAAATCATTGTTTATTACACCGGCGAAGATTTTTGCCTTTTTGGCTATCATCGAGTTACTTTCCTTCCATTTCACGAAAATATTTTTTTTATATCTTTTATCTTTATTTATTAAAATAAAATGCTCATTCAAACGGTCTTTATAATCTTTAAAAAACTCATTCCAAAATAAGTTTGATGTGATCAACACATATTTTTTATTTAAGAGAATCCCGGATGCACAAAAAACTTCGCTTCTGCCTTCCTTTTCAACCAGCGCTAAATTAAAATCCATTACTAGAAAAAAATAGGCATGTTTTTATATAATCTTGTCAATCAAATGTTTACAGGCATATGTAATTAAAATTAACATAAATATGAAAGGCACAGGTGTTCCGAACAGGTGTACCTATAAGAATTAATGTTGAACATTTTTGCAAACAATTATTATACGTTAAAGAAGTATCGGATTTTCGCAACGCGCGTGCCATCTGGTGGACATCAAAAGCATACGAACTTTACATCATTTTAAATAAATAGGTAGTCTTACTCGACTAAATTACGCACGTTATTTGTGTTTACGTTGCAAGGAAAAAACTGGTTTAGTACTCGATTTCGATTGATTATTCTTTATATCATTGATTAAGAAACTCAACGCTTAAATGCTTATATAGTTACGTTAGTGTGTGTATTTTATCTAAGGGATCATGGTGAATTATTGTGTTTTTAATTGTAAACAAAATTCAAGAACTAAATCGTTGCATTTTCATGTTTTTCCAAAGGATCCAATTCGGTAAGAACATTTGTTGGTGCAGAATTAACTAATGATAACTTTACCCAATATAATTTATATTTAAGTTTAAGAAATTAGTAAAAAATAATTTTTGCACAAACATAACCTTAAAATCAACCATTTTTATATTTGAGTTCTCTAAAAACGCCGACAACTGCATTTTAAACAACAAAATATACCTACGAACAGGCCCGTTCCTGGTGTGTCTGGCGCCTACGTGCAGCATTCGTTGGTGCGCCCCTTTTATATTTAAAAATAATACATTAAATATTTAAAATACAGCCCGTTCAGAGTAAAACCGAATATATCTATATATATATATATGGGGCGTGGCCTCGCCTCCCTCCAAGGCGCGTCACAGTAGCTTGTGTGATAAACGACATGCGAAAGGTCGAGCAGGTAAGACGACTTAAAAAATTAAATGATAATAATGCAAAAAATCTCATTAGCGATGCAGGTTATTTGCTTAGCTACTGTGTCGCGCGTTGGAGGGAGGCGAGGCCACGCCCCATATATATATATAGATATATTCGGTTTTACTCTGAACGGGCTGTATATATTTTAAGACAAACTGGCAATAAGGAATTGAAAATTTAAAAAAAAAACCCTTAAATTAAGTATAAAATAGCTATTTACATACCATGGGAGGAAAATATTGCATTTCCTCCCGCGAATAGTTTGATGCCCGACGCGAAGCGAAGGGTATTAAATATTCAAGGGAGGAAATGCATTTTCCTCCTGAGGTATGTATATAGTTTTTTCTATTACCTTTTAACGGTTTTAAGACATTTTAAGCGTTCCGGTTCCTTTTACTTACCCGGTAGGGGGCTATAAAATTATGACAAAATATTAAGTAGGTTTTGCGTCGCCGACGTTATGTTGACAACGCTTTGTTGCTATGGTATTTTTGGTAATACCAACATAACAGTTTTTATAAGCTGTCATAATGTTTATCATAAATTTAATAGTTGCAATTAATTGCCTTCCTTAAAAATCTAAAATAGTGAATATGAATATAGTTTGTTAAAAGAATGTTAAAAGAATGGTTGGACAAGCGCGGAGTAAATCTTTTTCCTACAAAATCAAATAAAGCTAGACAAGGTACAAAAACTCTTGCCAATATAAATTTTTTTTTAAAAAAGAGGGAGGAAATTTTTTTTCCTCCCGGGGAGGAAAAGAGGCATTTTCCTCCCTCGCTCGGGGGTGGAAAATTAAGTTTTCTAGTAAGGTAGTAGAAAAAATATTTATTAAATTACCAAACAAACAAAATCACAAAAACTATTCAGTGTTAAAATACTCTAAAGAAAACAAAAAAAAAACAATCTAAACAATATAATAACTACAACTGGTTTTTAGTGAGGTACTAAAAATTAATTAGTCAAAAATGACTAGTTTTAAAAGTAAAAAAGCAGTCACTAATAACTTTAGTCCACAGCAATTTGTATCCCGGACAGTTAAAGCTTATTATTATTATTATTATTATTATTATTATTATTATTATTATTATTATTATTATTATTATTATTATTATTATTATTATTATTATTATTATTATTATTATTATTATTATTATTATTATTATTATTATGTAAAATATGAAAGTAAAGCAGTTTTTAAGATATAGTCAATTCCATATTATATGTATAATTTACTAAATCTCAAAAACGTGCTACTTTTATAACTTTTGACGACATTTTCGGATTTAGCGGACAATTTTACACAGGAGTTGACTGCTAAATGTCCGGGATACAAATTGCTGTTGACGATAATTATTATTTATTTTTAGAGAGTAAGCTCGTTACAAAGTCATGTATACATGACTACAAAGTCATACAAAGTCATGTATACATGACTACACAGTATACTGTGTAGACTACTGTTAAACTTTGCTACCGTCAACTGTAACTATCAAACAAATACTAAAAATATTATGACCATTTGTCTCCTTTTATTTTGATCCTCCTATGTATGTTTAAGTATTATATGTAAGAAAGTTTATCGTTACAAAGTACTGATTGACTCTTTGATTTTGCGCCCCCAAAATGTTGCGCCTGCGTGCGTGCACGCCCTGCACGCTCGCTAGGAACGGGCCTGCCTACGAATTCATGGCAACGTAATATTATATATAATACACAATTTAATGGTATTTTACTGTTGAGTGGAGACTTTAAAGAATTCTTAATCAAGGCTTTTAATAATGCTAAATGTTGTTTAAATTTAGACGACTTATTTGTTTGACGATTTTTACTGAATTGAAATGTTTACACTTTTCACGTTAATCATTACTAAAATGTGTATTTATTGTATCTAATAGATACAATTTATATTTACAGGGACTGTATGAAATTTATTTGGTGGCGCTATTAGGGATACTTCTTTAGCGTATTTTTGAATTAAAACAAACACCTTTAAGATGCGGTGCAAGAGGAATCTGTATTTGGTTTTTGCAATGTGGCGCCATCTATAAGTGAGTAGCTATTTCTTATTCAAAATCGAAAATCGGACGAATATATTTTGTAAGTAGCCCAAAATAACTGCATTGAACGTGTTTTCCCATTTATTTGTTAAAATATAATTAAAATTATATAAAAAAAATCATAAAAATGCCCGATATATACATATTAAGCATATAAAAATAAAAAAAAGTTTTTGGCCCATGGGGGGATCGAACCCGCGACCTTCGCGTTATTAGCACGACGCTCTAACCAACTGAGCTAATGGGCCAGATACAAAGTAAGTATTTTAACTAGTATATAATCTATATTTACTTAAGAGTTAAATTTTCTTATAAAACACAAATAATACTTTTAACCATACTTGAAATAAATTAAATTTTAAGAAATATGTGTTTTGTACTTACCGTTATACAATTTTTCCACAATTAACGTGTTGATTTGCCGTATAAAGTCAATAACTGTATCATTAAGGTAAAGTTCACATATCTGATGTATTGCTGGTTTTCTATAATACCTCTAGGTATTAAGGAGGAGGAAATATAATATATTTAGTTTGGAGCGTTTATAAATACTTATTCAATTTTATTTATTTATTTATTAATTATCCTAAACATGTCAGTCAAGTAAAAAGTCTAAACAATAATAGTAACTATTATTGTTTATTAACTGTTAATGAACCTGATTTTTTTTCTTTTGTAATACCTACATGGAAATAATATTATTATTATTGCATTAGAATAAATAGTAGTAAACCTTATTGTAAGTTATAGGTAAATACATTACATACTAGGTACCAAAATATGTTTATTTGCATGTTAACATGGCTTCTGCACAATGTAGGTTGAAGATTTATCTGATCCACAACACAACAAGTTCAAGATTATTAAAATAAAAAACTTTTTCTACTCCCACCTTTAAAACGCCCTTTATAGTACATGTTTCCATGACACTAAGTGACCTTTTAAATACACATTGACAAGTTGTGGCTTTATGGCGCTTTAGTCACGGGCTGAAGTTAGCAACAGGTTTTTAGTCACGGGCTGAACTTAGTTTTAAGTTAGTTGACAGTTGTCAAATGTCATACAATCGTTAAAATAAAGTGCCTTTCTTGTAAAATAATACTTAATGTGAAAATTATTTTATTATCTCAATATAAAAATAAAAAAGTATTAAATAGTTTCTCAACGCCAATATTTGAAAAGTTTATATGAACATTGTACTGACCTTTTAATTTCGCCGGCAGTAAACTATAAGTTATAAATCGAAATGTATTTCTAGAAAATTGATAGTTTTTCACAGTGAAAGTAAAGAAAATGTTGGAATCTGTGCCCGAATTTAAGTTATTGTATAACCTTTATAATCTGTGTTTATAAAATACAAAAATTTGACATTTGACGGTGACACAAAGATTCCGCATTGTTTCATAGATGGCGCTCTATACAAATTTTTGATTTAAATCATTTTAAGTTAATAATAAGTATTTGTCGTAGAAAAAGTATGGTATGCACCTCGTTTATAAACTTTTCTATACACTCATTAATTTAAGCACTCGCTCGCAAGCTGGCTCGTGCCTAAATTAAATTCGTGTATAAAATGGCTTTTATCAAATTGATATAAAACCTAGACTGAATAAATTACATTTAGAAGAATTTCTCATAAATGTTAGGTCTAAAAATATACATAAAAAACCACTTTTCTACAGTTATGGACAACACAGTATCAAAAAACACCCTTGGGCCATAATTTTATCTTGATTGGCAGGTACCAATACCAAGACAATCGCAATGGCCAATGAGTCATAAAAGGTTGTACCACAATCCATTGTGGGTTGTACATTTTTAACGGTGCCGATTGATCAAAGGATTTTTTACTTTCCTTTTTTATGAAAAATGTCTTGTTCCATTGCATATATTAATTTGTAAGCAACTGTTGTTTCAGGAAACTTAATGAGGAGACAAGTGACAGCCAATATTAAATGACGGAAAAACCTAACATTGTATGTAAATATAATTCAAATGGTACAATGATAATGAAATAACGTATTGTAATAATAATAAGCATTTATCGAAGCAACAAATATTGTAGTTGGTTGCCTAACTTTGTAATTTCAACAAACCTGTTTTTTGATCCTGATTGTGCATTTATTTAATTGGTAATTTGCAAAAAGATGTGTTACTTATTCTACAACGAAAAAATTAAAAATTTTCCTGGAGATTTTTGTTTGAATCTTTCTAATTTTTTTCAGCATTAAATTTATAATCAGTATCTACCTAATAAGGCAATGATTCATTTTAATAATGAAGACGATTTGGTTACTGATCTGTCTGTCGGTGAGATATTCCATTATAAGGACCGGACCGGGTCATGAGACCATGTTTTACTTGTTAATAGGGTACATCCTGTGTACATTTAAACATACTACGAAACTTACACAGTTTAGGTACGGGGCCTTTCATTCAAACTTCGTTTGTGTCGTTTTATTCGAGATTCAAGTTTATTTCGAAAATGAAAACACGATTGGGGTGATATTTCGATTTGTAGAGAGGGTTGCCGAGCGTGCGTGATGCATGTACTGTTCAAAAGACGTGCTAGTGTTTTTTGGAGTTGATTGGTTATTTTTGTTGTTAGTTTTGTGACTATTTTACATGTATTATTTGGATTTACCATATAACGCCAATGGCTTCCGGAAATATTTAGGTAGGTACAAAGTTATTAGGAAAATTCTAGATTGTAGTAGTCATTTACAAAGTTTTAGAAAGATTGACCATCTGGTTTCCGAGTAAAAAATTATTAAAATTGCTAAGACTACACGGGATGTTATAGTTTATTATTGCTAAACTGTGTTGTTAATGTTGACAAAAAAAAATCTATTTCTTATTGTCATGTTATAAGATACAGATACAGATACAATATTTTAAGATTTTAATAACACCGCATATAGAACTGTCACTACCATTGTCTTAAACGATAAGCGTTACCATAGAAACCAACTATCAACAACTCGCAATGTTATCGCGTTTGAATCCTATTTTAACCTTTTTCAATTCACCTTCCTGTGTTACAATATATACAGGGTGTTTAAAACACAACATTTATTAATAAATTTGTAATAAAAATTGTTAATTAAAATATTGTTGGTTTATTAAATTGTTAGAGTTAATCCAGCGTTTTATCTAGTTTACATCTTAAGCCTGGTTTATAGATTGCCTTCCTTCCTTCCTCCCTTTCTCACTTAAAAGATTAACAATACAAAAACCCTTGTGCTGTTTATAGATTCCCGTACGGGAATCTATAAATGGCACTACGATTTTCGTATTGTTCATCTTTTACGAGAGGAAGAAAGGAAGGCAATCTATAAATCGGGCTTTACAGCTTTGTTGAGTTTTTTCAAAATTGGCAAATTTTTAAAATGTTTGGCTTGTCAATGTTTTTTATAAGTCACTGACTGCTATTTTTTATCGGTAATATTGTTTACAAAACACTTAATTAGTCAACAAATTGTTTATACCAACCTGAAAAATTGACGCCATTAAATTTTGAACAATGACAGATTACGTGGTAACCATAGATACCGTCAACTCACCTGTCACAGGTTTCTTGATACAAAATAATATTAAAAATTTTAGAAATTGTTTAATATCTCTGGAATTATTAACTTTAGGTATAGGGAATAGTAATATCAATCGGTTGTTTAATTTACTATTTGATTATGTAAAAACATACAGGGTGTTTTATTTAAAATAAAAAAGTTATTAACGTTTCAAGTTAGCCTAATTTGCGCTGGGTTTTCTCAGGTAATTTGTGGAAAAATGTTAAAGAAGTGACAAGGAATATTTTAAAATATATTTTAAGATTCCAAAAATTCTACCGCCATATCGGCAAACCTAATAAAAAAGAGGCTATTTTTGATTGACGCGTATTTCTCAAATTTTAACGAAAAAAATTAATAACTTGAAAACTATTCACTTTAGGTAGAATTTAATTTAGAATTAAAAAATTTTAAAATATATAGGGTGTTCTATTTGAAATAACAAAGTTGACGTCATTTCCGATTAAACCGGGAATTACATAAAATTATATGGGTGATTCTACAAAACTTGGACAACTTGATGTCATCAGTCAATAGAGTAGGTATTTTAATATTTTTTGTAAATATTTTAGTATATTACAAAAGATCCAGGTTTTTTTAACTTGTCCACCCAATTTTAATGAATTTTTTCAAAAGCACGTTTGTAGAAAAACATAATAAATATTCTAAACATCAGTACCTTGGCGTGTCACAACTCCTCAATCAAATATTTGAGTGATTTTATTTTAAAATCTATTCAATTTATCTTAAATTTTTCAATTTCACTACAAACTATAAAACATTAAATAATGTATTTTTCATATTTTATCATAGATTCGAATATAGCAATTTTTTAAAAATTGATAATCTTTGTACTCACTTTTACCCGTCATTTCTGCAGAAATGACGGGTAAAAGTGAGTGGACACATGTGTCCAATGTTAAAATTCAAAATTCCTGTGAAATATTGAAGTTTAAACGTCAAGTCCTCGTTTTAACTCAAGTGTTGTTTATTTAATGTCATTATAAACTCATATAAATTTGGTGTGGGTCCCATATCTAATAATTGAGATATCGGTTTACCCAAAATCCACCAGCCGCCACTGATGTGTGGTATTATTTGATTTTAAGATATTTAATGTATACTATGCTCAAAGTTGCAATAAATCTTATATTTTCCACTAAATGATGTATTTAACCCTTAAATGCATCGCGTTGCAAATTTGCTACGCTCCGAGAACTCTTATAGTAGACATACTGTATTACTTGTATTGGCTTGAATGCATGGTGTAGCATATCTGCAACATAGTGAAGTATTTGGTTAAAATTTTTATTTGACCATAGATGGCGTTTGAATGACGTTTTATTTAATTGTTTACTGAACAGCTGTTCGTAGGACATGTTGTATTGTTGCCAAGAAATAATAATTAGTATTGGCGCAATTTATGCCCAGATTTTAATAAAAAAATATTCTACTGTATAAGAAAGGTATATACTTTTATGTAAATAATTATATTGATAAAAAAAACTGTTAGTCATTGTTCTTTTTCTGAAATACTGATTGTAGCATATCTGCAACAATATGCAGAAAGGGAGGATGGTCTGGACTTTTCAGACACTGATAGTGTGGCTGACCCTCCATATTTACCGAGTGACGACGAAGATGATGCAAGAACTGCCAGTCCAATAATTTTCGCAAATGAAGAGGATGAAATTGAAAGTGAAAGTGTCTTGGAATTTGATCAACCCTCCACTTCAACGGCTACGCAAGACACGTTACCCAAGTCCAAATCTCAAAAAGGAAAAGGTAAATCTAAACAGAAGAAAGAGAAAGTAAAATGGAACCATGTGGGTATCAAGCTAAATGAAGAACAACTTACCTTTCATGGATCTACAGACCTTCCTTCTGCTATTTTAAATTTGGAGACACC